TGTTTCATATTCTGTTTTGTTTCTGTCCTCGATTTTCGTATTTTCCGAAAGTAAACAAAGTATTTTTGTGGGGCAGGACCAGGCTTAGATGGTCATTAGCATGCGTTAAAATGGCGTTAAATGTGTAACGGAAACCCAGGAAAACCAGCGAAAGGACACGGAGTCTCGCTTTCATTTCCATTCCTTTTTTTTTTTTGATAATTTTTTTGTATAATAAAAATGTCATAAATTTCTGGCGCGACCGCGTGTTTCCCCCCCTCTTATTCGCTAAACTTTGTCGGTGTGTGTTAATTTTTTCTAATTGTCCGAAATTTTAGATAATTACACGCCATTAATTATTTACATAATAATAACGTTTCCTTTCCTATAGTATACTATACTATACTATACTTTCTTCTTTTGCGGGACGAACGCGCGTTTTACAATTTTGTGGTTGACTTGACTGTGGGCGTGGCTGTACATATGTACACGTATATATTTGGCGCGGTGGGGGGCGTAAAATTAAATTTACATAATTTATGACTTGCTCAGCAATGTTCATGGGCGTTGTGTTGCATAATTTTAGGCATTTTTGTTTATTGCGGCGTAAAATTTGAATTATGAATCAGGAATAGCACTCGCTCCACTTTCGGTCACCCCGCCCTTTTAAATTCCCGCCGCTTCCGTGCAAGGGTTACATTCTGAGGTTATTAGTAATTTATTTGCATATTTTGTGTCCGCAGAAGGGTGTGCGGTGTGTGTGTCCTGACGGACAGGAGCAGGAACTCAAGTGTCAGACGACAGTCAAGTGTCGTGTCTTGAATGAAATACTTGCTTGAGTTGAGTTGGGTTGGGTGTTGCGATACACACAGGTGTGGCGGCTTGCCTTTTCCAAGGGAAAAACTTTAAGATTTAATGAACGATTCTTGCCCTATTTTATTCTCCCATTGTTTCCTTTGCTCTCACCGCTTGTTAACAGCTTTCTGTCTGGCGCCCAGCGGATAATATATGAACCAATAAACATTCTGCTGGCCACGCCTTCTTCGAAGGTTCAATGCCAGAATGCAGGCAACTTTAATTGCCACTTGCTAATTGCAAACACCCACCACGCCTGCTGTAACGGCCATTATATACACTTGCCATATTTCATACATCGAGCAGATACATAAGGAATATAGATATTTCCCATTCAACGTGCTGGCCCATGCCGGGTCCAAAACCAGACATAAAAAGTGGAAGAAGCAGCCACTGATTAGTATCAAAGGGGCGGGAGTAAAGGATGATGCTGTTGCGGTTGGTTGGCTGGTTGGTTGGTTGGCTGGTTGGTTGGATGGCTGCCCTCCAGCCGAAGCTGTAGCTGAATCTCTGTGGCTGAGGCAGTGAAAAACTTTTGATTAAGCTGCAGTTATGGCAGGTTGTTAGAGCGGAGCGAGCTGTGCTCTACAAGCTTTTGTTTTCCTTAGCTAGCAGCAGCTCGTTAGTTTGTTTTACTTTTGCTTTTGCCTTAGCTATAGCTATAGCTGTAGCCGTACACCGCACACATGACAGATGCTTGAGGCAACATTGTCTACTTTTAGGTGCTTTGCTTTGCCAGTGACAAATTTCTCCATCGGGAGTGCAGAGACTTTCGCCGGAGCGGCAGAAACATCAGCTCAGAAAACTTTTGCATAAAACTTTGATGTTTTTTGTTAGAAAAGAAGCGAACCGAGCGGCGTTTTCAATAAGCAAACCCATCCTCGTCGAAGCCTCGAGCTAATCCCATAAAATATTACTTTTCTATCAACAAAAGTTGCCGGGGCCACTCAATTCGAAACCATTTTCCAAACTATCATCATCAGCGTGGAGTGGAGTGGAGTGGAGAAAGCATCATAAAAATCGCTTTTCATGTGCTCCGAAAAACGGGGGGCGAAAATCGGGATGGCCGGCTGCCATAACAAAGCCATAAAACGTAGTTTTAATTGCATTTTCGTTGTTCCGTTTTATGTAGTTCGACCAGCGAATGCATAAAAACAACAACAGCAAGAGCATCACACCACTGACCAAAGCGGTCTGAAAGCTTGCTCCTCTGACTCCGGCTTTTTGCGCTTTGGCCCTGGTTCAATGCGCCGCATTCTAATTGCACATGGGTTGGTGGGTGGATTGGGGATGGGTTGGCGATGGCTTAGAATGGGGATTTTAGGAAGGCACTTACGGCTTGACTGGATCTCTGGCGCTGTCTCTCTGCGTATTTCGCTTTGCTCACTTAGCGCTGGGGCATCATAAACTAACGCAGTTTATGGGTCCATGCACCCAGCGCACAGCGCACAGAACAGCCACCCAAAAAAGCGGGTGGGGCCACTTGGCCAACTTGGCACTTTCAGGCATTGCATACGCGTAGGCGGCGACACTGCGGCTAGTCTCGACCCCTCGACCCCACGAACTCTCAACCCCCCGAACTCGTCATGCTCGACTTGGTGGGGGCGCTAAAATTTGCGGTTTAACGTTGCCACTGGCGCCTGTCGACTCTCAACTGTCGCTGCAATATCTTGTCCACCCGGACAGCACAACCCCCTACCAAAAAGAACACCCAAAACGACACTTTGTCATAAGCAATTGTGAAGGCTAATTGTGTCGAGGCAGGCATCTTTTGATTCCGCGCACACAGCGCCCAAAAAAGAGAGAGCCAGATTTAATTAGCATTGTGACTCTCAAAGGCTTCGGCTTTTGGCAACATTTAAATTTCAAATTACGTGCGCTAATTACGCGGCCAAAAGGGCAACTGGCGAGGAAGCCTTTTCTGCCGCTAATAATTAGCCAGACTCTCCGACTTTTGTGCAGAGTCAGTGATGCCTTAGAAGGGCGCAGAGTCCAGAGCCCAGAGCTCAAGTTAAATTTTCAGAAATTCTGCACACTCTATCTATAACCAAAAGTTCATTAACCAAAAGCGGGCCAGAATTTCATCAGCTGCATTGAAGGCCTGATCAATATGTGTGTGCAGCCTGATTTCAACTTGTTGTTTTTGCAGTCAAAGCCAGCCAATGCGGGCTTCCAGCATTGATAAACCCTTCAAAAATGGTACAAAACAAATAAGGGAAAAATTAAATGGAAGTCGAGAAAGGAGAGCCCTGAGAATGGATGGCATTGGAGGGCACACAACCTGCATGCAGCTTAGCCTTGCCTTTGAGATGCCCCGAGCTCGACTTGAGCTGAAAACATTTTGCAATTTATTAAACCACGCCACATCAATCATTTATCAGGAGCAGCAGTAGCAGCAGTAGCAGCAGAAGGACGTGCGACTAAATGAACATTTTTTGGTTAAACATTGGTTTAAATTCTGCGGCGTCACCACTTCGAACCCTTGTCCCGCTGTCATCGACATCCACATCGATATCCACATCCACATCGACATCGCCATCTCCCATCGCCTGTATGGTGTATAAAATCAACAAGGCTTCAGTTCATCGACCACTTAATTTATCCAGCTGAGCTTTGAGTAAAGCAAAAGCGCATTTGTGTGTTGTCTGGCGAGAACGATGTGACGATGTGGGGGGATTCAGCATGCCTTTGGTCAGACAGAGAAATGCACTTAATTGCCGTTGGCCGTGTTTAGTCGATTTGGTCGATTTAGTCGATTCAGTCGCTACCAGCTGCAGTTACAATTAAAAAACCAGCGGGCCCTAAAACAGTTAGGGCCTGCGGCAATTTGTGTGCCCCGCCAGCGGCCCCCATTCATTATGCATTAATGTAAATACGGTAAATGTTGTCCAATCATTAACATAATTGAATTACAAACAAGCGCAATCGCAGGCACAGAGAACGGAGCCCCCGAAAAATGTTCCATGCGCGTGCATAAATCGCAATTTTAATTACTCGCCACTGACTAATGGATTGTTCCCAAAAAAAACACGAATTCGTAGTCGGACTACACCATTAAATATTTCATAATGGGGGTGTAAAGGGCTCACCCACCCACTGACCCACCTACTCACTCACTCACGTTTATATAAAGCAATTGAATTTTGCAGTTAAAAGCTTCAATCATTTTCAATTGCCGCAAACTAATGGCTGATTATAAAATATTCATGCGACAAGCGGCAGGCGATGAGACTGAAGACAGACTTTCATGCGGCGGCTAATGACAGGACGCAGGACCTCTGGCGATGAGCCAATCTAAGGCCAGGAAACAAAGGGGCGTGCCTGGTTGCGCCCCCTTCTGCGGTGGTGTGTGCGGTGCAAATAAATTACACCTGAGAGGCGCAGATAGAGCAGTAACTGAAAGGGTCGCCTTCTGGCCGATTATTGATTTGCTCGGGCTCCTGCGGTTTTCGTTGGGCGAACATTCGAACATTCGTTATAAAGCCCTCAATTAAGTTTTATTTTAATGCATTTCATTTGAACGTCTTTTAATGGGATTTTTCGTGCTCGGACACGGGCATATTACTCATTTGCCATAAACCGAAAGGTGACCACAACACGTAGACCGTCCAGACCCAAGCCCACTACCCACTACCCATTCCCAAACCCAATCCCGATCCCAAGTGGATGAACAGAGAGAGAGAGAGAACGTTAAGTGTTGGCTGGCCAGAATCGACATGGGTCGCTTGGGTGAGATTTAAGCTTTAATGATGCATGAAGCGGCACAGGATGTGGCTGCCCAGTCGTGGGTAAAAGGCAATGAGCGCAAATGTGCAGACGAGAGGGCGAAAACGAGGGCGAAAGCGACAGGAGATGGGCTTGCATATTGAGTGGCATTTAAATGCTTGAAAATGCTTCGCTGGCCAAATGTGTTTTGGGAGGTGTTTATGAAGAGCTCCTCTCGACCACCAAAACGCAAGTTGATTGAATTTGAGGGGGGGCCAGTCGCTTGGCCATGCCAACCAACCAGCCAACCAACCAACCAGTCACCATCCACCGCTTTAATGGACTTTCCTGCTAACACTGTTAACGCAAAATCTCGTTTTTCAGCCGCCGCTCTTGTGTTATTTTTTCGGTCCACCCCAATATTAATCGAAGCCTCTTTTTCTGCTCTTTTCTATTTGCAGATGAACCGTGCTTTACAGCTGAAGCCAGCTGAAAATGAAAGTCGCAGCGGTAAGTAATCACCTGCCATATTCATCGAGTTTCGGACTCCCTGCCAGAAAATCAATTTGTGAACAACAACAAGCCGAAAGTAGTCCTTCGTAGGTGACCCAAAACAAATAATTACGGCAAAACTTGACCCGTCTTTTTCTTCTTCTTCTTCTTCTTGAGGGTGAGGGGGGTAAAGTTTTTGTGCCAAGGCACTCAGCCGAAAAGTGCAGAGCCAGGAAAAGTTTTCCCGGACCGCCCCTTCTAAGCATTCTCCGGCTATTTTCAACACCTACAACACACGTCAGCAGAAATTACGGGCGCACTTCGATAAACTGTCAAAACTGTCTGCAAAAATTTGACATTTCACAAAAAAAAAAAAAAAAAAAAAAGCAGAACAGAACAGAACGAATACGAATCTAGAAAAAAATACTTGGAAAAGGTAGGGAAAATGGGAAAAGCGTATAGCAAAACAACGTTGAACTGTCAATGGCAGTCAGGCGAGGGGGTAAAAAGTAGATGGTAGTTGGTAGAGGGGGTATTTTGGCCAGGCCTCGCTGGCCAGGGCGCCATATTGTTTTTACTGGGTCCCTCACACAGTTGTCGTGAGTTCACGCTTGTTTGTGACAGCCCATCGACCCAAGTCCCCTCGATCCCACCAATACCCCTGACCCACCCACTCCACTCCATTCGCAGCAGGGCAGAAAAAGAATGATAAAGATTTGCATAATTTACACAGCACTTCAACTTTGTTTTTTGGGTCAGCCACGCCGGCTCGCTGGCTGCGAGTAGTTGTTGCTTTGATAAACTTATTGACAGGCTCATTATGCAGCAGCTTCAAAGTAATTTCAATATTTCCCCCGCTCTGCGGGCAGCGCACCCTCTATCCCAACCCCATAAATTTCGCTCCCTACAAAAGGTACAATCGCACAAAAGTATGCTACACATTTCGCAATCATCGCAGGATGCCCGGGGAGCCGGGGGCATCCAGAATCGGACTGAAAGTCAGTGCACTCCGCAATCTTTTAAGACATTTTGCAGCTGGCAGCGCTTATCACTGCAGAGCAGAGAAATGGCATCGCCCGAAAATGTCCATTGCACAAATTGCTTGTGCACACAGACACTCTTACCCATGCAGGACCTTTGAGATCGATGGGTGGCGGGGTGGTGTGCTCACACAGCCATTGCTCATAACACTCGAAGTGTGTGTGTGTGTGTGTTGCAAAAAACCTTGACAAAGTTGATGTGTCAAATCAGCAGCCAGCGAGCGAGCGAATGAACGAATGAACGACAGGACCAAAAGCAGGACCCTCCTCCGGATGACCTTTAAACTTTGGCAAAGGACATGAAAGCACTAATCGTTACGTTGCTCCCTTTATTCATCCGTTCTTCGGCTGCTTCGATTTCGCTTTGCAGCCAGCCAGCAACAATTTAAACTTTTCTAATCCGCTGGGGATTGGGAACTTGAAGCAACTCGACTCAACTCGACTCAACGCTACTCAAAGCAACTCTGGCAAGTTGCCGGCAATCTGTCCGCACAATTGTGGACCTGGTCTATGGAACTAGGGCTTGGTCTTGGGCTTCGGCTTGGATTTGAACGTGGACCAGGCCCAAACCATCAGCGACGCAATCAAGTCGACATTTTTGTTTGTTGCTTTGTTTGCGAGTTGGAACAAATTTCTAAGAAATTAAAGCGCTAAACTTTTTGGGCCGCTATCAGCAAAGCACTTGGCAACTCGGCACCGAGTTCTGCGACTTTTGACTTGGCCCCACTGCCTGTTACCATATACTTTTTTGGTAGAGGAGATCTTTGGCTTTGGCTTGGCTCTTTGGCTCTCTGGTTTAGGCCAAAATGCAATTAGACAAGGACAAGTTTAATTGCTGGTCTCGACCAGGCCAAAATCCGGCCGGCTGCTGCAAGTTTTCACCCGCTGACATTTGCATTTTGCAGCCGCACAAAGAAACGTAATTTATTTAAACTCAAATCAAGCATGAAATGTGAATGGATGGGGAAATGGGAGGTGGGAAGTGGGGTATATGAATATATTTATTAGTGTTGACAAGTGCTGAAGGAAGGCTGATTTAAAAGGGTTTCGTGTCCCGATCTCCTGCCTGCCTGCTAACTTCATCAATTTTAACTTACTGGGGCAGGCATTGTTGACATGTCTGAGCTTTGACCAACCCAACAACAGACTGAGACCCAAATGCCCAAAACGAAGCTTGAGTACAATTTGTTGCCTTTGTCTTTCATCCGGCTTTATGTGTGTGTGTGTATGTATGTCCTTCGTACCGACAACGTTTGTCGCATTTGCAATCTTCTGTGCCATATCTAAGTCTGATGACTTTCGTTTCATTGGCACGCCAAACACACACACACACACACACATGTCCTTGCTTAGTTATTTATCTTGATATATACTCACACACTCACACACACACCATGCTTCATCATTATCAAACTCATATTGTCGTCTGCCTTTTTCCCTTCTCTTTCCTTCCCGTCTTAACGCGTAATTTGTACTTGTCTAACACGTAATGATGTCACGTAAATTGCATACGTTCGCTTACGTTTACGTTGACGTGTTACGTTTGATATTCCTTGGGCTGCAGGCGAGAGCGACTTAAAGTCAAATTAATATCACTCATACGACCCGTGAGCGTGAGTGAGGCGAAAAGAATCTGCCTGTAGACGGTCACACACCGACATAAATTGTGAAATCCTCGCCATTTCCTCGTTTCTCGGCACAGATTTATGTTTCTAACTACGCATTAATTTCCTTACCTTTATCCTGGGCTACCCAGCTACGCAGCAAACCAGCTACCCAGGCTGCCTCCGCTTGACTCCTTGTCACACGTCAGTAAATCAGATGCCGCTCCAGCCCGCCTCCACCTGGGGCACTTCCCGTCTCGCCTCATCCATCATACTTATAAATATTCATTTCCTCCTGCGGTGCGGAACGCAGGGCGTTCGGGGAATGATTGCGAAAGATTAAAAATCAACTCCATAAAAATATCCTCGCATCTCTCTCACCTGATGATAAATGACAGTCGAAAATTAACAAAACCAGCAGCCTCGCATCGCCTCGCCTCGCGAAGGAGAGAAAGTGGAGAAAGTGGAGCACACATGTGCGGTTGCGTGGAATTTCCCAGGAAAAGCAAACTTTTTCGAGAGCTCATTATAGACAACGTCTGATCAAATTGAAAAGCAATGAGCTATGAAACAGAACCCCCTTTCCACATTGCCTGCTAATAAGCAGGCTGCGGAAAGTTTTAGGGCGAAAACTAATAATAATAATAATACGCAGCGTTGGCCGCTCGCATGCTAAAAGCAAACTTTTCTCATTTCGTTTGCTGCCATTCATTTTGGCCGTTTCTTACGCCTGATTACGCATTTGAATTGTACTTTGCCGCTTTCGTTGGAATGGTCTCGCGAAAAGTATCCATTTGACCATAAAGTTGGCGACACTTTTTCTACCTGCTGGCGGGCGCTTATTAGTGTCAACATTTTTATGGCAGCTCCCTTGCAATTTGATTAGCGCAAATAAAGAACGACAAATTCAATTGAATTTGTAATATAGACTGACTGCCAATGATGATTGGCTTCAGCTGAGACCGCGACTCCACGGCTGGCACTTCTTTTATCTGTCCCACATGTGTTTTTTTTTCGTTGGGGTGCAAATTAAAAGGACGAGGGGATATTCACCACTAAGCCCCAAATAACAAAGCCTCCGAGCCCAGACAAAAGGCATAAATAAAGCCGAGGCAGCATCTACGCCTAAAAGCAGACATCAATTTCTGCCTCTCTGCGTTATTCGTTTCGTTTTTCTTTTCTTTTCTTTTCTTTGCTTTTCTCCGCTCTGCTCTACTCTGCTTTGCACTTGTCTTCTTTTCTCCGGCAGAGGAGCTCAATTCTTTAATCAGCTTAAATTCACACGTACCAAAAGCGACGCACAGTCATTGATTGGAGGCTTACCCTCCACCTCCTCGCAAGACCTTCTTCTTTTTTCCCTCCTGCGGCGGCTGAGACTGCGTTGCTTTTATCAAAGCCAGTTCAAAGGCTCGTATGTGTATTTAGGCTTTTATTGTTTTTGACCTTTTTTCTCGCTGCGAGACGAAATAAAAATCGATTTTTTCGCACACACTTTCGCACTGACAACTCACGCACAAAAATTTGCGAAGGAGAGGAAAAGCCAGCTCAAATAAAAGTAAATCACAAGCATCGCTGCTGGCAGCAGCATTCGCAAGTTCAAATAAGCGATAATAAGTATTTATGGGCGGGGCAAACAGATTCTCTTCATGGTATAGAAAGGCCCCAAAACAGCCTGCTAAATGTGTTTTAATGTTTTTTAAACTTTTCCCTTGCTCTCCCTTGCTCTTAAATATTTAAGTATACTTTTAGGCGATGCGAACGGCCCTGTACTGTATAGTTCCCTTTTCATTCCCTTCGACAGTTTTGGTCTGCGCATCATTTTTCTTCGTTGCTTGATTTTGTTTTTACGAGCGACTGAAGCCTGTCAATTGGCTGAATGCCTCGTAAAAATGCCAGAGGCCTACAAGGAACAAGGAAACTTCCCAACGCAGGGAAAACAAAAAGGAGGCCAGCAAAAAAAGCGAAAAGAAAACGATTTGTTATGTTTTCTCAGCGCAGCGCCAACAGGAAACGGAAAAGCACACGAAGACCACTCTGTCTCCTTCGCTCTCTGCTTGGTTTCGGTTTTAGTTTGTTATTCTGTTTTCCCTGGGCCGCTGCTTAGGCCTGCCAAATGTCATCATTAGCGTTTCAATTGCCATTTTAGTCCGTGACACTTGAAACATTTGCATAAAATACCAAAAGTCAAGTTTGTTGACGTAGACGTTTTTGGTGGGAGAAGCCGGCTGCTGTTTACCTTTGGCAGCAGAGTGAAACGCAGCTCTGAATTAGACGAAGGAAATATGCTCTCACTGTGAAGTTGTAAAAGGTCTACTTTTGTGGCCAAGTCGTATAACATATTTTGCATTAAATTTTGAATATACATTTTTAATTC